GGCTTTTTCAGTTCATTCATAACAATTTGCTTTTGTATAATGTTATTATTATTAGTAGTATTATTTATTATATCCATATTTATATTTGTTTTATTAAAAACAAGCTTAGATTTGCCCACCTGCAGGTTTTACATCATATGGGGCACAGCATGTGTTTTAGGATATAACTCAGGTTTTTGAGCACACTTCGTTATTATTGTTCATTTATTCGTTTGCTGGAAATTAGAAATGAATTTAGAAATAGTTTTGAAACGAATATTTGCACTTAACAAACGAAATTAATTATTTATAGGCTAATTGATGTCTGTGCGTAAAGGTTTCCCTATCCAAGAGCGAAAGTAGATCGATTATCTCTCATTTTCACGCAGTAGATGCTCTGTTTAACAGTTTTCTGTTAAAAAAAACTGTTAACTGTTTGCTTGTGAAATGCTCAGTTTTTCCACTTACACTTATTTTACATCCTGTAAATAGCAAATGCGCTTATGACAGGACGCAGCTGGCTCTTAAAGGGAATGGGAGATGAGACTCTGATTGGTTTATTCTCAAAACACACCTATAACTCATTAGGAAAATAAACTCAACCCTTTTAGACCATGCGCCATGGCGCAAAGCAGATTTTCCCGTCCTTAAATTAGCAAATAAGGATTCTGACACGACCTTATGTGTTTGTGCCCTGCACTTTGCGTTTTGCGCTTGGACCGTCAAAATAGAGCCCTAAGACTTTGTGAATTTCACAGAATTTTCTCAAAATGAATTAAAAAAATTGTATAACTTCGTTAGGGTTCACCACAGCAGAATGAACCACCAACTTATCCATCATATGTTTTACACAGTGGATACCCTTCCAGTTCTGGGAAAACACTCATACACACTTATTCACACACATACACTAGGGCCATTTTAGTCTATTCAGTTCACCTGTACCACGTCTTTGGCATACCCACGCCAACACGGGGAGGACATGCAAACTCCACACAGAAATGCCAACTGACCCAGCTGGAGCTCGAACCAGCGACCTTCTAGGCAATTGTGCTACCCACTGCACCATCTTGTCTTTCCTCAAAAAGATTCAAAAACTGAAAGTTTTAAAGTTATTAAAAACAATGATCAGGGAGGTCTAATCCACTCACTGGCCACTTTATTAGGTACACCTTACTAGTACCAGGTTGGACCTCCTTTTGCGACGTGCGAGCCCAAAGGGTATTCCCGAAGTCAGATCATCTCGGATTTTGAATCATTTTTATTATTTGTTTTATTATACTTGTCTCTTTTTTTCCTGTTTATTTAAAGCACTTTGGATTGCCACCGTGTATGAAATGTGCTATAAATGTGCCCTGCCTTCTGTGTAGAGTTTGCATGTTCTCTCCGTGTTCGCGTGGGTTTTCTCTGGGTGTTCCGGGTTCCCCCACAGTCCAAAGACATGTGCTTTAGGTGAATTGGGTAAAACAAAAATTGTCCGTAGTGTATAAGTGTGTGTGAATGAGTGTGTTTTCCAATATTGGGTAGTGGCTGGAAGGGCATCCGCTGTGCAAAACATTTGCTGGAATAGTTGGCGGTTCATTCCGCTGTGGTGACCCCTGATAATTAAGAACCTTAAGCCGAAGGAAAATTAATTATTAAATGAATTTTGCGTAGATAGTTGCTTTACAGATATAATAACTTTTTTCTTCTTACTTTCTTTTATTACTGTCTTTTTATTATATGGCACAGTTTTTCCACCGATGCTCCTGTAGGGTCATTTCAATCTGATATTGAATTGGATTACAGACACCTTTCTCACACCTTTCGATTTTCTGTATTTGCTTCAGAACCGACTCTCCGCTGATCTCCGGATAAGTGACATACTGTACAAACTGTAATATTTGGATTATTGATCAAAGAGCTCTATTTAAGTGGCTCTTTTGTATGACAGATTTGCTGTCAAATCATTCTGGGTGAAGTCAAGGAGATTTTGTCCTTCTGATATGATTTTTTTATTTATTGATAGCCAGGGGTTCATTGAAAGCTTAAAATAATACGATTTCTTTACTTACTCTGTGGCAAATTATCTTGTTTAAAAGATAAAACTCACTTAATTTTACTGGATTACTGTAATGGACTCCTCAATGGCCTTCCCAAAAAGACAGTCAGACAGTTTCAGCTCATCCAGAACGCTGCAGCCAGAATTCTGACCAGAACCAGGAAATCAGAGCACATCACACCTGTCCTCAGGTCTTTACACTGGCTCCCAGTTACATTCAGAATACAGTTTAAAGTATTATTACTGGTCTATAAATCACTAAATGGCCTAGGACCTCAATACATTACAGATATGCTGACTGAATACAAACCCAACAGATCACTCAGATCTTTAGGATCATATAAACTAGAAGTTCCAAGAGTTCAGTCAAAGCAGGGTGAATCTGCTTTCAGCTATTATGCCCCTCGCTGCTGGAATCAGCTTCCAGAAATGATCAGATGTGCTCCAACATTAGGCACATTCAAATCAAGACTGAAAACACATCTGTTTAGCTACTGAATCAGGGGCGCCCCCAAGGGGTGGCCAGGGGTGGCCACGGCCGCCCCTCGGTAAACTCTGGCCACCCCTGTGGCCACCCCTTTGGCCACCCCAATATAATTTTGCTGTTGACATTATTGATTTAAATGAACTTATAAATTCCCAATATTTAAATAAATAAATAAAATGCAGTCACTAAATTATTGTTGGTGTTACTGACGTAGCTCTCCCCCTCTGGTTCAATGCTGGTGAAAGCAAACTGACGCATGCGCGGAGAAAACCATTCCCGCGCGCCTCACGCACTCCTGTGTGAATCCCGGTTGGTTGTTTGCATGCAAGCCGACAAAATAGGCACCGCTCATGCGCCGTGAAACCGGAGTAACAGCCTTTTGTGCAGAGGTGTCGGCACGCAGCGAGTTTTGAAAGTCGACTAAAGTTTATACGAAATGATGATGATGATGATGATGATGATGATGATGATGATGTTACTTTCACTAAGCATGCCTTTAAAACAGAAAGGAGGGATAATGAGTCAGGGAGGTAAGACTTCATAACATGATTTCTCAGCCATGATCTGGTCTAAGACCACAGATATTCTATAATACATTTTTTGTATTCTTTAGAATTGTCATGAATAATTTTCATGCAAAAGGTTTCTTAAGTGATCTTGGCATATCACTCCAGTTGTTGTTTTCCAGTTATATTTAGGACTGATTTCTGTTATTTATTTAGAATAATAATTGTATATTAATATTAATTGTATTTATTTAGAATAAATATAAATAAATTGTTATATTTATTAAATAACAAATCTAACAATTCAAGGGAGGTGGGGTGTATAGGGTGGTTCGCCCAGGGTGTCATTTAAACTAGAACCACCACTACCCTCCCTGATCGTCGTTGACAGCACACACACACCTTCAATAGACAGTAATGGCTATTTAATATTTACCTTAAGCTACAGTATATCAATAGAAGAAGCTGCATTAAATGGCTCAAAAAGCAATATGGATAAATAATATTAGGTATAGTGAGTGTGTATAGTAATGCCTTTTGTTCAGCTTGTTCATTTGTTTGGGTAATTAATAAACTCATTATTCTTTCATTCATTTTCTTTTCGGCTTAGTCCCTTTATTTATCCAGGGTCACCACAGCAGAATGAACCGCCAACTTATCTAGCACATTTTTACACAGTGGATGCCCTTCCAGGTGCAACCCATCACTAGGAATAATAAACACATTGATCTTAATTAATTTTAGACATGGCATATACCGTATGATGTACAATAAAAGCACGTAAAAAAGAAGTTATTTATACAGTATATGAAAAGTGTTTTTAAACTAAACATAGATTTTTTTTTGGTTTGACCTTGTACTTGCTGAATTAATTTAAGGAATAAATAGCAATATTTCAAGAAGAATTAATTAAATGAATAAAAACTACATTAGTTCATTTACCAGAAACAAAAATATAACATTACACTGAATTCATTATTTTTTTGTGTGCCACCCCAAGATTTGGTGCGGCCTCTTCTGGCCACCCCTAAGAAAATTTTCTGGGGGCGCCACTGTACTGAATGAGCTCTGTGCTGCGTCCGACAGATTGCACTATTATGTTTTTCTCTTCTTGTTCATTCTTTTATATCACATTTTTCCCGTCTTTGTTTTTTTTACTCATTTTTATTATTTGTTTTTATTTTTATTTTACTTGTTTCGTTTATTCTTGTTTATGTAAAGCATTTTGAATTGCCACTTGTTATGTATGTGATATTGCCATTGTCCCCGGTGCCATTAGGTGGCACCCACACGTTACTGCTTATGTTTGTGTGCTCTTGTAAATAAAATAGTAAAGAAGTTAAGTACTCCCGTTGTAGCTGTGTTATTTAGCCTAGTGCATTCAAGAGTGTATTTTAAATGTTATGATAGTGAGAACATAACATATTTGGCGACAAGGTGGATTAATTTATCCATGGACCTACCACAGTGAATCGTGAGTAGATAGGCGCACCTGAACTTTATTTTCTCTGCGCAGCAAAAGTGAGCTAGATTAGCTAGAATGGCTGCGTCGGATTAAACTTAACTGGAAAGAAATAAGAACAGTCAAACTGAAGACACTAGATGCTGTTCTGCAAAAAACGCTGTTTTCTCTAAACAATTAGGGGAAATGAAGAAAATAAAAGCTAAAATATCGCTAAAACCTGAACATAAGCCAAAGTTTTGTCAGCCCAGAGTAGTCCCATATGCCCTGCGTCCAAAAGTTGAAGAGGAGTTGAACCGTCTCAGTGAAACGGGAGTACTTAACTTCTTTACTACTTTATTTACAAGAGCACACAAACATAAGCAGTAACGTGGGTGCCACCTAATGGCACAGGGGACAATGGCAATATCACATACATAACACCACTGTGTATGAAATGTGCTATATAAATAAACTTGCCTTGCCAAAAACTTGCCTTAATTTTGACATTTTTAGATGTTTGCAAATTAAAAAAAACTCTGAGAATGAAACCCTTTTAAGTGTGAAAGGCTCTAATAGGTTAATTAATAGTTGGTGTATAAAACTGTCTTGTTGTGTTTGCCTCAGATAAGATATGCCACTGCAAACAGTCCAACATCCCTGAGGTCTCTACAGATGGACAGGTCAAAGACGACATCCAAGCATCCATGTTTTGACTCTGACCCTTCGCCCATATCAAACTCTGATGTCCCTGATGCCCTCCTGTCCAACAAAATCCAGCCGTGTCCTGATCAGGAGCTGTGGGATTGGGCCCCTAACCTGACGGAAATGCATCCATCTGCTCAACAAACGAGAAAACAAGACACCGTGAAAAGAGGAAAAGCTAAGAAGATGTTTGGCTGGGGAGATTTCCAGTGCAAAGTCAAATCCACAATCCTGAACCTGCTCATCACAGGGAAGATCGTGGATCACGGCAACGGGACGTTCAGTGTTTATTTCCGCTATAACACCACTGGAGGAGGAAACGTCTCTGTAGGGCTGGTTCCTCCTAGTAAAGCGGTGGAGTTTGACGCGAGTGCTCGACAAACTGTTCTGCACTCGGTGGAGTCGCGGATGTTTAACTGCAGGGTGGAACATGAGAGGGTGGAGAGAGGAACTAAAGCTGCCCGCTGCTGGTACGATTCGTCCCAGAGCTGCGATCAGGACCAGACTCACAGCCAGGTCTCTTGGCTGTGCTCAAAACCATTCAAAGTCATCTGCGTTTACATCTACTTCAACAGCCTGGACTACAAACTGGTGCAAAAAGTCTGTCCAGACTACAACTACCACAGTGAATCCCCGTATTTACCTTCTGGATAATCATTTATTCATACACTACCTGACAAAAGTCTTGTTGTCGATTCCAGTTATAAAAGCAATAAATAATAACCTGACTTCTAGTTGATCATTTGGAAATGGCAGAAGGTCGATTTTTTTTTCCAGTGAATCATCTGTTGAACTGCATCCCAATCGTCACAAACACTGCAGAAGACCTATTGAAAGTAGCATGGACCCAAGATTGTCATAGAAATCAGTCAAGTGTGGTGAAGGAAAAATCATGGTTTGGGGTTACATTCAGTATGGGGGTGTGCGGGAGTTCGGAGTGGATGGCAACATCAACAGCCTGAGGTATCAATACATTTGTGCTGCCCATTACATTACAAACCACAGGAGAGGGCAAATTCTTCAGCAGGATAGTGCTCCTCATATTTTAGCCTCCACATCAAAGCTCCTGAAAGAAAACAAGGTCAAGGTGCTCCAGGATTAATCACCAGACATTATTGAGCATGTCTGGGGTAAGATGAAGGAGGAGGCATTGAAGATGAATCCTGATGAACTCTGGGAGTCCAGCAAGAACGCTTTCTTTGCCATTCCAAATGATTTTATTAATTTATTTGAGTCATTGCAGAGATGTATGGATGCAGTCCTCCAAGCTCATGGGAGTCACACACAATATTCATTCTTTTTCCACTGCAGCATGACTTTATGTTCTATATACTGGACATTATTTCTGTTCAGTGACAAGACTTTTGTCTGAGCAAAGTCAGATCTTACTGTCTTAATTAAATAATAAAAAAAATCAAGGCATGATCATATTTTATTTTGGTAAAATAAGCGTTATTTAAAGGCATTTGCCTTTCATATAAGCTACTTCTGATACCAAATGATGTACTAGAAGTCAAGTTATTATTTTTTGCTGTGTGTGTGTGTGTGTGTGTGTGTGTGTGTGTGTGTGTGTGTGTGTGTGTGTGTGTGTGTGTGTGTGTGTGTGTGTGTGTGTGTGTGTGTGTGTGTGTGTGTCTCTATCTGTCTGTCTGTCTGTGTGTCTGTCTGTGTGTCTGTGTGTGTGTGTGTGTGTGTGTGTGTGTGTGTGTGTGTGTGTGTGTGTGTGTGTGTGTGTGTGTGTGTGTGTGTGTGTATATATATGTATATATATATGTATATATATATGTATGTATATATATATGTATATATATATGTATGTATATATATATGTATATATATATATATACACAAATACATATATGCAAAACACAAAACAAATTAGTAAAATAAATGCATTTAAGTTACTATTTTTACTATTTATCAAGAGAAGCATGTTTTTATATTCATTTAAAGTAAACCCCAAGATGAAAATGTATTCACTATTACCTCGCCCCCCAAAAATGTATGAGTTTCTTTAATTTGTTGAACACAAAAAAAGATATTTTAAGGAAAGCTGGAAAAAATTTAACCTCTGACTTCCATAGTAGGAAAAACAAATATCAGGCCTGTGGAGGGGTTTGGGTGGTTCAAAAGACCCACCCCTCACTGACAAAGATCGAGGATTTATCTCATACATGAGCTACTTTTTTCATATTTTGACTGCTATGCCATAATAAATTGTAAAAATACTTAAGAAGACAACCCATTGAAGAAGCTTTAGGACCAAGTGAAATCCTGCATTGGCTGTTGGCATGCCAAATTCTGACTGAGGAAAGTTGAATGTGCAGGCCAGCAATTGTTATTTGCATATTAAATGACAATAGGCTATATTTTTATTTAAAACTTTAATAGATTCCTATATTATTCCTAATGATATATGATGTAATATAATTTTATTTTAAAAATTAAGTATCTTTTTCATATTTGTTTAAGAAATCTTTAGGTAATGTTTTTGGTACATCAAAAAGTGTGGTTATGACGACCATCTGACAAGCTAATCCAGCAAAATATAGTGCTTAGAATGCGACTAAAATGCAATATTTAAACCTCATAACTAAATATAAAATGAGGTGATTAACAGCAAAAAGGTTTTTGAGTAAAAAAAAAAAAAACACCCCTTTTAGCCGGGGGGCTATGGGCCTGAATATTATAAGGAAGTCAGAGGTTACAGGGTTTAGCTTTCATCAAAATAGCTTTAGTGTTCAAGAGAGGAAAGTCAAACAGGTTTGAAACCAGTGTAGATTGAGTAATACGAGTTTTATATACGAGTGAACCATCACTTTATTCTGTTTAAGTAATATTGAACATCTTTGAGATATGACGCGGTTAAACATCCAAAACCAGCTTACTAGTGTAATTTTATATATTTATTTGTTTTTTTAATCATGAAATTCTTTAGTAGATTGGTCTTCATGATCCAAGTGGCAGGTGCTGGTGAATGTGTCATTATTTCTGACAGACAGAGCAAAACTTAATGAGCTCCTGTAATTGACTTTGCTTTGCTGAGATCATGTGTCAACGGTTTTGTCATTTCTCTGGTGAATTAATGAGATTGCTATGAAATGTAATTTCATTAATGATGAATACAATTTGGTTGCTGGAGACAATTACTTATCAAATATTGAAAATGAATGTAAAAAGCATGTTTGCTGTGTTTCTCAAATACATTTCCAAAAGGAGGAGCTCTTCTGTATATTTCTTTTTTTTTAAATTTTGGACAGTTTAATTTTTCACATAAAGACTTATTTTAAAAATAGCCTTTAGTTTCTTCGTAAATGTAATTTTATTTCTCATTTTCCTCCCCATCTTTTAAAAAAATGCTAACGAATCACCATAATCGCAAACGCCAGGGATTAGGTGATTCTGCTAAACGTTGAGAAAAGTAACAGGTAGCAGGTGGTGACTTCTACTCGCTTGTTCTGAGGTGTTCTTTGACAATTTACCTCTTGGATGATGATACTTTAGGAGTCATTTAAAATGTCGTAACAGTATCACATTATCATTCTGACCGCTCTTAAATGCGCATTTAGAGTCAAAGATTCAAGCTAATTTGCCTCATGTCTAGTTTACAGTGTACTCGTGCCGTAGCGCGCATTACGTCATCACTCCTTCTACAAGGACGCGCACTGATGCTAAAACACACACACGCTGAAACACACATATAGCGTTTTATTTTCAGGTTACAGGATGTGCTAAATATCTTCAGCAGGGAATCAAACCCATGCGGTAAGTCTGACATATTCAATTACCTATTATTGTTTAAAACCGTTCATTTCCTGTATTTGCTGTAGCTGTTGCATAATGACATTATAGAAAGGTATATGTTTGTTTTGGTGCGGCAGAGAATGAAATCCGCATATGGAAATTATGAATAATATGTTCCCTTTAGGATATTACTGATTAGGCGTATTATTAATGAAGATAACCTCATTCAATAAAGAAACTATAGCGTTAAATGTAAAGAATAGGCCTGTATTTGTTCAGTCAGCATTTCTTATATTTTTAAAAAATGTGTTAAAGATGACAACTGTGATACAATTGTGCAATTATTATTTCAGATACTTGATAACCATGGAGAAAGGCAACCAGTGAGTATGCAGGATCCATTAATTCCCACACAATCAATCTATAGGGGAGATGGGGATGGTTGCAACAAGACTTATTCCTCAGTTCAGGAATGAGCTAGAGTGATGGTATACTTACTACATATTCTCAGTTAGACCCTCTTTCAATCTGAGAGGAATCAGCCAAATGTGATCGTTCCTTCAGTATAAAACTCATTTTTATGTAAGAAAAAGTATTTTTTTTAATGTTCAGAATGTTCTCATACTGTCTAATCTGTTTTTATGAAACATTATCCATTTGTATAATTTAAATCACTGTTTTCTTAGCTTTGAATTTGTATGGCTATCAAGCAATAAAGCTATTGTATCTCCCTAGCATAGACAGTTTAATCAGGGTTGGGAGAGTTGCAACATGCTGTCCCCTTACAAAATGTATTTAAAAGCTTGCCATATTAACAATTAACAAATTAATTTGATCACAGTTCCAATGTAATTTAATTTGGGGAAAAAGTGTAATTTATTTCAAAATTCAAAGAAGTAGTTTAGGTAAGGTTGAGTCTAGATTTTTAGTAAAAAAAATATTTTGGTTCAATTTCTATGCCTGATAATCA